GCCCCTCAGCTTCCCGAGACTGTGGCCCCCCAACAGCATGCCTGACCTGAAGTGCGGGGCCAGCGCCAGGCTATCTCCCGAGGGCGGAGCCCCTGGCTCCCCGATTGGCCACTCTGTGGGCACGCGGGCCACGGGGGGTCCCTGAGCCGCTGTGTTCAACCCCACAGAGCCGCCTTCACACCTGGTCCGCCCTCAGAAGCTTCCAGTGAGCCGGGACACAGGTGGGCTGGATCAAAACTGCACGGAGGACGGGGGAATGCAGGGACCTCAGCCAGACCCTCCACCGCACCCCCCAGGCCCAGCCGGCCCCAGGTCCTGCAGCTGCTTGTTTATCCATGTGTCCGGGAGCTGTTCCCGTGTAACTCAGTTCTCTTCCCTTCCTCCCTTCCTTGCTTCCTGCGGCCTTTCCTCCCTCCTTTAACGGGGCTGTGTTTGCTGCTCCGCTGTTCTTGGTGGTGGGTGTAATTGCAAACCTCAAGTATGCAAAACTCAGCTGGAAATGTTCAAAAGAGGCGGCCAAATAGGCATGTCCCTTCCAAATAACTAGCTGGGTTCCACTGTTGGATTTTAAAAACCTTTATCTTCGCTAAATATTTGACTTTGATTTTCATGCTCTCTCACTGTGTAAGTATTTTGAAATAGGTTAAAAGAACAGAGAAATGAACATCGTCCAGAAACATTGATCCTACATTGCACTTAGTGATAAGACTCCTGGGCTGCAGATGAGGGAACTTACCTTTGCTTCTGGTCCTGCCAGGATGGAGCTGTGTGACTTAGAAAGCCATTTGCCCTCTCTGGTCTTATTGTTTCATCTTTCAAATTAAATGGCTTGGGAACCCAGGTGGGAAATTATTATTTTATTGTAGTTTGAATGCTCAGTCTCTCTCCCTGTCCTTCCGGTAGTGAGACCCTTTGCTTCCCTTGGGGACCCTTCCTCTTCCATGCTCACTTATTTCAGACAGGGCTGTTCCAGGAGCTTGCGATTTGGGATCGCCTTTTTGGAAGCAGGTGTGGTAAAAGAGGCTCCTTATTACATGGAGGGATTACTAGAAAAATGTTGATATTTTAAAGGTGACTAGCAGACCAAACTAGCTATTGCTGCATAACAAATTATTATAGACTTAGTGGCTTAAAACTACCCACCTGTGTTCTCAGGGTCTCTAAGGGCCTGGGGAGTGATATGGCTTGGCTGGGTTCTGAGCATGACTGCCCTAGGCTGCCGTCAGGTGGGGACCAAGCTACAGAGCCTTCGAAGGCTGACTGGGGAGAGCTCCGCCCTCCACTGGCTCCCTCGGGTTTGGGGAAGGATTTATTTACTTCTAGCTACAGGGTGGGGGCTTCGGTTTCTGCCTGGAAGCTGCTCTCGGCAACCAGTTGGCCCACAGCTCCTTGCACATGGCCTCTCTACCACGGCGATCATGCTGGCATGGTCACCTGTACTGGTGACAGGAGGTTCCTGAGCCCTGTGAGTCATCTGTGGAGGGATTCTGTCGCGGGGGTGTGGGAGACAGCGGGGCGCAGTCTGCCATCCAAGCGGCCTCCCCCATCTCCCCGCAGGGCCTTCCTCCCCTAGCCTGGCAGCCTGGGGAGCTGACCTTTCATATCCAGGGCTCATGGGTGATGGGAACAGCATGGATCTTCTACTGGACAAACCTGGACTTGGGTCCTGGCTAGTGTTTGCCCAGCAGCCGTGACCCCGTGGCCCTGGTGTTCTCAGGGTCAGTGCAGGGAGATCGACAGCCGTCACACCCTGCGGAGAGGGTCCACATGTGGGTATTAAAGAGCACTTGACTGTGTTTTTTATTCTCCTGGGAATTGGTGTCAGTCCTCCAATCAGATATGCAAGAGGTCGATATTTTTCTTTACTTTTATGGTATTGGAGTTATTTTCTGCTTTGCGCTCTCAACCCTGGGGAGAATAGAAACAGACTGGCTCAGTGCCTTTCCTCAGTGTAACCTCCAGGTCGAGGAGGGCTTATGTGGGGCCATGGAGGGCTCTAGGGCTCATGCTCCCTGGGGTCTCCTCCACCGGTATTCCCGGTGGCCTTTGGCCGCCCATTCTGTGTGGCTCACAGTCCGGTGAATCCCCTGGGACTTCAAGCCCTCTTTAGGTCCAGCTAGGGACTGCTCGGATAGAAACCCTGCCAGTCATCCTCAGACCTTTTTGTCACCTTTGAAGCCAACAGGGATTAAAATAGCTTAACCTATGGGGCTCCTGTGAAAATTAATTGGGTTATTACTTAGTGCTGGGAGCACACTGAGTCCTCAATAAATGAGATTTACTTTATCGTGCTGGAGTCGGGGGACACTGTTTGCTCTTCTGCCTGGCTCTTGGTCCCTTAGGCTCTTCCCAGGAAAGGCAGGACTTGGACCCTCTAGTCTTCTCTCCAAGATGAGGGATACAGAGGGCAGGGCCCATGCCGGTCAGAATCTGCGCGCTCTTGGCTTCCGTCTTGGGAGAGGTCCAGCTCTGGGAATCTGCATTAGTCTGGGAGACAGTGAGAGGGCAGGAAGCCTGGCTGCTCCCCAGCATGCGTTCTCCCGAAGAAGCATCTCCACCAGGCTCTGGAACTCGAAGCCAAGTACCAGCTCCTTTGAGGCTTTCTGCTCTGCTGTCCCATCAGTGAGCCACAGATACAGGTGCACAGTGGCAGAACGTGGGAGATGCAGGGGTCAGGGAAGTCATGAGAAGCCCTTTGTCAATATTCGCAGAAGTCAATTCCCCCTGGTTCTCCGTGACCTGAAAGAAGGTGCCTGTGTTGAGGAGCAGCTGCAGGGGACGCCCCGGCACCGTGATCACCCACGGATGTTGGCACTAGGTGGCTTTGTGTCTCTGTTGCCCAGGTTGGTCTCAAATTCCTGGGCTCAAGTGACCCACCCAGAGCTGGCTGCACTCTGCTCCTGCACAGGAGATGCCCAACCTGATGAACCCGAATCTCGAGGCTTGTCCTCAGCAGATGGCATTGCTGGTCATCTGATGACCTTTGCAAAGATCAGCAGGCCTGGGTGTGGAGGGCCAGGGAGTCAGTCAGCTCCAGCATCCTGAACGTGTTCCTCTGGGGATACAAGATGTGCATCATGGGCAGCGAGGTGGGTAGACTACGAAGAGGATTCAAATTGAAAAAGTCACATTGAAGAGCGATGCCATTCTGCCACCTTGTGGTAATTTCCTGTGGATTTTTTTTTTTTCCATGCTGTGGCCTGAAACCTAGGGGCTGCCAGGGACCACTGACTTTCTTGAAAAAGACAAATGGTTAGTCCTGCACAATGTCGGACTGATGGCCATTCTAGTTTCTATGAAGAACAGATAAATAGGGGGCCGATCATTAAGATCAGTCTTGAAGGCCAGGTCCCATTCTAGCTACTCGGGAGGCTGAGGCAAGAAGGTCTTAAGTTCAAGGTTGGCCCGGGGAACTTAGTGAGACCCTGTCTCAAAGTAAGAAACAAAAAGGACGGAACATGTAGCTCAGTGGTAAAGTGTCTTCGGGTTTAATTCCAAGTGCCCCCCACCAGAAAAAGAAGATTAGTCTTGGAGGTATATAATGACTTCAGATAGTCACTGAATGAACAATTGTTTAATTATTTCTCTGTATCCATGAAGCAGTGCTAGGCTCTGGGGGAAAATACAAATATGGTCTCTGCCCTCAATGAGCTTAAAATATGTGCCAGAGTAAGGACAGTTTATACACAGACCTAAATGATAAGGAAAATCCTAAGTATGCATCATAAGCTCCCTGGGCAAATGGAAGGAAGTCAGTCACAGCACTGGAACCGGAGAGCAGGCTGCTGAGGGAGATGGCGTTGGCTCCCAGGGGTCACCAGATACCCCAGATGGGGAAAGGAGGCACACGAAAGGGTCACGTGGTAGAAAAACCACTGGACTCGCAGCACAGGACAGCAGGACACACACTTTTCTGCTCATGTGCGTCTACAAAGAAGTGAGCCTCCATCCCAAAGTATTTTATTTATGAAACGTGGCATGTACCACGGAAGAAGAGGAGATTAAGGTGATAACAGTAGGACTGTCTCCCTGGTGTTTCCTCCGGTGTCCCATTGGATTGTCGGCCACATCCTGCCTCGAGGATGGCTGCGCAGAGGGAGACGGAGGGACAAGGGTGACAGACGCTGCAGGGCACAGTGCTGCACAGGCCACCAAAAGTGGACCCAGGTGAGGTGTGGACGTGAGGAAGGGACAGACCCAGAGGTGGAACTAGAGAATTGCCAGGGGTTTAAAGAGAAAGACCTGTTCAAGGCCGTTCTGAGCAAAGACTTATTTTAAGATCTTCCTTTTGGGAGACGGTGGAGAATCATTCCCTGAGAATCTAGGAGCACCGGCAGGTTTCTGGAGAAGGGCATGAGTTCATTTGGCATAAGCTAAGTTCCGAGTCCCCGTGGAGTCTGCTGATCTGTCCACAGGAATCTGGAAATTTAAATTCAGAAAAGAAGCTGGGAATAGAGAAGGGTCATGTGGGTCAGAGGTGATGCCAAACTGTGGGAGCAAGTGAAGAGGCCCGGGAGAGAGCATGAAAGAGGAAACCAGAGCAGGGACAGCCCCCCAAGGATGCTGACACCGGGGTGTTGTGGCCTGAGAAACAGACTTTGAGATGGAGAATTGCAACAGGAGATGTGAGGGGGCACATCAGGACCAAGGCCTGCAGGGAGTGAAGGGTGCCGCGGGGTGGAGGGGGAAGTGGAGCTGGGGTGTGGCTCCAGTGGAGGCCTCCGCAGATCCCACGAGGAGCTCTGAATCCAGGATGGCCTTTGGGGGGAGGCTAAGGGTGCTGGACTGGCTCCGTCGGGCTCCTACCAGCCGGGTCCTGGGCCGAGTTCATCCCCTGCCTCCTCACTCAGAGCTGTCATTTGGATCTTGAAGTAGCACAACGGGCATATTTACACCAAGGAAATTGCCCAGCATTACAGACCTGGGCTTTCTTCCCCCAGAAAACTGTCTGTTGAAATATTTACCAGTGTACACATTTACATCCCTAATCAGGTAAGAGGACTAACAAATCCTGGGTGTGGGCTGCCCCTGGGAGGGATGTCGCCTCGGGCAGGGGAGCCCATCGCTGAGGACCCTGCCTGGGGAAGAAGGCCGTGGAGAGCCAGCAGAGAGCAGTTCCTGCATCTGGGGCAGTCGGTGCCTCGGCCATGCCAGGGGAACAGGGAGAGCACCGCTTGGCACCCACCACAGTCCACCTTGTGCCCATCTGCTCCAGACAGTAAGCTCCTCTCTTTTGCTGGGGACCAGGGGAGTAATGTGGATCTTCTCTGCTACAGTCTTGAAGTGACAGCAAGAGAGCGCCATGACCTGCAGGAGGCACAGTTCCCCCCGCCCCTTGCTGCACTATCCCAGTGGGGCTTCCCCCATCAGGTAAGGGCAGGCTCTTTCCCCATCTCCCTCCTTTACTACCTATCCCAGGCCCCTCCCTCTCCCCTGCACCTCCGATGCTCCAGGTAGCTCTCTAGTACCATGACCATGACCCTCATCTCCAGGGATGGAACATCCTGGTCATCAGGCCCTTCTCAGCCTGCAGCTTCACCTGTGGTCCAGTTACCATCAGAACTGGGCAGGGACACTCAGAACCACCCTCACGGGCCTCCAGTGTGCAGGTATACTCATTTGCACCCCTGCTATGTGAGGGCAGGCCCTCTTGCTGGTATCAGGAATCCTCTTCTTGCCAGCTGCTCTCTTGGCACAGCAGACCTGGTGGCACTGGTGGCCCCAGTGGCAATGTCCCTTCTCCAGGCAACAGGGCGTCTCAGCCTTGAGGTCCAGGATCTTTCTTGTGCCCTCATCCAACCTTTACTGAGTGCACCCCCGAGCAGTGTTCTCCCTGTTGCCCAGTTTCCTTTGGGTGGGACCTGAACCATTAGCTGATGGTTTGAACTCAGAACAGCCCAGCTCTGCTCCCTCCCCAGTGGCCCTGGAGGGCTGCCATTGACAGCTGGGGACACTCCTCTGACAGTGAGAGGAGCCTGAAGTGAGGTTCCTGCAGTGTCAGCAGAGCCTGGTGGGGCCACCTCTAGAGCTGACACCGATGCCTGTGGACACGAGGGGCCTTGTCATCCTGTCCAGGTGGACGCCAGCTTAGTGAGCCACAGCCCAGATAGCATGGAATTGTCCCCTTGGACCCCCCCCCCCCCGTCCTTCACGCATGCCACCTTGTCTCAGTGTCTAGCCCAGGTTTTAGGGATTGTAAGTGCCATTGTATTGGAGAGTATTTTAGTCAGCTTTTTGTCTCTGGGACCAGAAAACCTGACAAGCAAGATGTGAAGGAGCAAAGCTTCTTTTGGCTCACAGTCTCAGAAGTCCAGTCCACAGTTGGCCGACTCCATCGTCTGGGCCCCGGTGATGCAAATATCATGGTGGGAGGATGTGGCAGAGGAAAGCAGCTCAGGACACGGCAACCAGGAAGCAGAGAGTCCCTTCACCAGGGACAAAATACAAGTCCCAAAGGCACATCCCCAGTGGCCTACTTCCTCTGTCACACCCCACAGTCACTGCCCACTTAATCCATATCTGTGGATTAATCCATGAATCAGGTTACACCGCTCATCATCTGATCATTTCACCTCTGAAAATTCTGACATTGTCTCACCTATGAGCTTTTGGGGGATTCCTCATATCTGAACCATAACAGAGAGAAATTAGATGAAGATGAAATTGATTTTTGTGTGTGTGGTGCTGGGGATTGACCCCAGGGCCTTGTGCATGCAAGGTAGGTGCGCTACCAACTGAGCTATATCCCCAGCCCCTGAGATTAATTTTAGTTCACTTAAATAGCATAATACCCAGTTATTAAGGATGGAGAAGAGGAAAGAAAGATGAAAAAGAGAAAGATGTTCTCAATTCCAAAATATTGGGACTGCCAAGGCAGGCTGCCCGGTGCTCCTTACTTGCTGCAGGGAGAGGCCGCCAACCCTCTGCCACTCGCCCTGGCTTCCCACGGTGCCCCCAGCCGAGGGAGGAAAGCTAGGGCTGGGAGAGAGAGAATGGTGGGTCGACCACTGGAATCTTGCAGGAGAGGAGTGCACTGAGAAATCCCTGGAATGACTTTTCAACTTCATAAAGAATAGGCTGTGACAGATTCTCCTGCAGGGTGGCCCTCGTGCTCAGGAGACTATCACGTGAAATGCTATAAAATTTAGAGAAAAGAGTCCTGAGGTCAATTACAGCTGGTCTTGCCCGTCTGAGATGGAGCCAGTTTCTCTGCTGGTGTTGGGCACAGCATTCCTGGAAGAAAACGTTTCCAGTCATGGGGCCCTTACCTGCAGGGGACTACAACCTGAGCCCCCCACGAGCAGTACCAACTCTGTATACAACGATGTTTTTCCCTATACATACTTACCTATGACAAAGCTCATTTATGGACACAATAGTAGACGAACAGGAGCTACTCATAAAATAGAAGAATCTTAACACCGCACTGTAATATAAGTTACACAGACTTGCTGTCCCTCTCCCCAAATCTTACTGTATCCCACCACCGTTCCTCTTCCTGGGATGACGTGAAGTGATACTCGAAGGAGGCACTTGGTGGCTTCTCTTTGGCATACCCAAATTGCCAGCACTGCTACTGGTTTTGTCAGCTTTTCTATTGTCGTGACCAAAATACCAGACAAAGCAAATTAGAGGAGGGAAAGTTTATCTGGGCTCAAGATTTCCGAGGTCCCAGTCTGAAGGTGGCTGACTCCGTTGCTCTGGGCTCGTGGTGAGGCAGCATGTGACGGGGAAGAGCCCCAGCGGAGGAAAGCTGCTCAGCTCCTGGTGGAGTCAGAGGGGGGAAGGGGCCCCAGAGAAGAGGCACCCTTCCTGCCTGTTTCCAGGGACCCACCTCCTCCAGCCATGCCAACCGACCTACAGTTACCACCCAGTCAGTCTGTTCAAACCAGGATGGACTCATCAGGTTACCCCTTCATGATGCCATCATTTTACCTCTGAATATTCCTGCATTATAGGAGTTTTGGGGGATACCTCATATCTAAACCACAACAACTCCTCTTGTTCTTTGAAGCCATTATTAAGGAAAATGAGGGTTACTTGAACACAAGCACTGGGATCTGATACTACGACAGGCAACTTGAAATAGCTACTAAATGACTAACAGGGGGGTAGTATATACTGTGTGGATACGCTGGACAAAGGAGTAACTCACGTCCTGGGCAGGACATCTTGGATGAAACATCATGCTGCTCAGAATGGCATGGAATTTAAAATGTACGAAGGTTGGGGATGTAGCTCAGTGGTGGAGCACTTGCCTAGCCTGCACAGGCCCTGGGGTGTTTGAGGGTGGAGGATGAGGGGCTTACGAATTACTTCTGGAATTTTCCATTTAATATTTTTAGACCTTGGTTGGTCATGGGTGACTAAACTCTCAGAAAGCGAAACCACAGATAAGAGGAGACTACTGTACACATAAGCCTTGAGGCAGGAAAGAGCTTGGCAAGTCTGCCCATCCAACGGAGGAACAGAAGCTCAGTGAGAGAGGGAGGTGGGGCCAGAGGCTGGTAGGGCCAGAGGCCCGAGGGCTTCCTCCACAAGTGCAAGGGGAATTATTACAATATTTTTAGCAGGAGGTTGTCATGACCTATAAAAGGCATAAATTTCTCTATGCATGAACTCAGGTACACAGAAATGTGACTCTAAAATGGAATTTAGCCCCACTGACTTTTCCTGCACGATTCAGCTGCCTCCAGCTCCCAGCAGTCTGTCTTGGGAAAACGCTTGGTTAACAGGGCTTCTCTCCAATCTCCTGTCCGTCCTTTCTCCCCAGGCGTGCCTGGGTTTATGACCAGGCTTCCACAAAGTCCTGGGGTTGCCTGGGGTTGGACAAGGGGCTTTGTCTGTGCAACACCACTGCAGGAATGACTCCTCATTTCCTCTTCCATACTTGCAGGCAGGGCCCTGCCTTTGGGGTGGGAACTGAGTCTCCATCTTTCCACGTGTTTCTCACTCTGATGGCAGAGGTGCCCCATTCTGTTCCCCAGAGGCAGTGTGACAGGGTCAGCACCTTCCCTGCAGGAGGTTAAAAACTGTCTCCATCAAAGCCCACCTTGGTCAAAGGTGAAGCTTTGCCGTCTTCCCACTCAGCCTTCCCCCCCCCCCCCCCCCAAGCACCTCTGCCCTCTGCTCTGGGGGACTTAGGAGCATCTTGGACTTTCAGACTATGGATTGGATAGTCTTGGGGCCCAGACTTGGGTCAACTCAAACCGGATGGGGGTTGGCTTCTGCCCACCTGCTTTCTCCACCCACGTCTCGCTCAGGCTGCCTGAACTCAGCTCTGTGCTTTTACAACCTTTTGGGTTCCTCTGCCCCTCCTCTTCCAAGCAAGGCATATTTTATCTCAGCTGTGGAAGCTGCAAATCAGCATCTGAATCTTCACATTGGGCCCTGAGACCAGGGGCTCCTGGACCTAGGAGTCAAATATTTGTAAACTCTCTGATCAGAAGCGGGTGCCTGTGCCTGTCTGCCCTTGGGTAGGGGAAGAAAGGCCCCAGGATGACAAGTGAAGGACTTTCGCTGGGGTGGGGGGGGCGGTGTGAGATTGGAGAGAAAAGCAAGAAATTCACAGATGAATGCTTTGGAATCTGATAAGCATTCAGACTTTCTAAAATGTCCCCAGTGGCTGCATGGAACCTAGGGAAACAGGAAGGCCAGTGGCAGGCTAGAACTTAGGTGACTCAGGCTGTAGAGACGGGAAAGAACAGACCTACACTGATTCGTTTTGTATGTGCAAACCTTGGTGCACTCTGCGTGCCTCTAAATCTGGGACCGCCTTGCTTGTTTCCAGGCCCCTGGGAAACGGATTCTGCATATTTGTGCAATTGATAAATTCCACGTCAACCCATTAATCTTTTTAACCTCTTAGAGTCATCTGCTTATATTTGTGTTTTGCAGAGGTTGAGCCATGCTGTGTGAATCCTGGATACTGGCAAGGATTGGCCAAAGAAAGCAGCTGTCTCCTGTGACACACCCAAGTCTCCTCTCCTGGGAAAGCCCTCAGGAGGAGTCTCCTTTGTCAATAATTAAACAATTCCTGAAGGCTGGCAGGCTGGAGGGAATGTGCATTTGCTGTTTGTTCTTAAAACATGTCTGTTTTCTGTGTTTTACTTTTATATATAATTATAATGTACTAATTAAAATAATGATAAGAGAAGAGAGATCAATAGAGTACAGCAAGCGAATGGGAGAGGGAAGGCAAAGGGGGTGAGATTGGCCAAGTCATGTTCTCTGCATGTAAAAACATGGCATGATGAAGCTAACGACTATGTATAATTAGAATGCACCAATTAAAAAAAAATGTGCCTGGCTTCTCCCTTTAGGCCAAAGCCAGTGAGTTGCAGGATTGGAAAACCCAGTCGGATTAGCCTTGGCCGAGTCCTTGCAAGCTGTCTTCCTCATTCACCAAAAAGGAAAGATTTGCTGGAGGGTTGCCAAGGTCCATGGGAGACTTGCCCCTGACACTCATGTGCCTCCTGCCAAGATCTCCTGTCCCTTTGGTGGAAAATCTGCCCCTGCTGTGGGAACAATCATACCGTCTACAAGGAGTCTGGGGGACAGAAAACATGAAGCAATAATGCATGTAGAGTTAGTTCTGCTACCCAGCCCTTACTGCTGCAACCACTACCCCTATCACATACTCTTGGGAAACAGGAAATCCTCCTAAGAGCTCGGTGATTACACTGGAGCTATTTCACCAACTCTAGAAGAGAATTTCTTAAGAGCAAAGCACAGCTCGCAAGGTAGAAAATCAAATGCAGAGCAAAGGGGCATTTGGAAACAATAGCTTTCAGGGACCGTTTTCTGGAGTTGCAGCCTGTGACCTGAGACATCTTTTATTTATCCTTAATAGAAGAGTGATTCTTCCTCGAGAGGGCCTGTAGGTCTGCAGTAGTGGGAAGCAAGCCCTTGCTCTTGCTTATTTAGCAATTAATCTTACCAGGCCGGATGAGCGGGCTGACTTACACAGGCCCATCTGAAAAACGCATTATGAACCCAAGGCCCTCCTCCCCCGCCGCGCTGCTTTCTACCAAAGATAACAAAGACTGCGGAGTGACTGAGGATTAGGGGTGAGCCCGTGCACACCACAGGCCTGGAAACAGCACAGAAGCCTCTAGACCTGCGGTTCCCAAAGCTTTCGTTCTCAGGAACTGCTCACCTTCTTAAACGTTTTTGAGCCTCAAAGAGCTTTTATGTTTTTTTATGAGTTCTATCCATTGGTATTTACCATACTCAAAATTAAATTGGGAAATACGTGAAAACGCAGGAATGTTCAAGCCTGGTGCTCTTAGGGGAAAGATGAACCTGATGCACATCAGCTGCGGCTGGGAAACAGCACTGCACACTCTGTGAGTGAGGAAGGCAAAGGCTCCTTCAGTAGAAGAACAGCGTTGACCTCAGACACCTTGAGTGGTGCCTCTGCAGGCCCCAGGGCCACACCTTGAGAACTGCTAACATGAAGAAATGTACATGGTTCCTGGGTCCTTGCTGGATGCCACTGTCAACCAAATTCTCTGCACAGGGGACCCTCGATTATTGCTGTTTAGTTTAAAATCTACAGGACAAAGAGATGATGACAGCATGCTATGGAAAAGAAGAGGATTTTTATTTTACAGGGATTAAAAATATGTCTCCAGAGCAGGTTCATAGTAAGAAAAAAATCAGCAAAATTAATGCCAACTTTGCTTCCACTAATTCTTAGTCTTTTTGGTTAAAGTGCAGTGAACAGATGGTTTGGTCCCTGTGTTATTTAGCTTTCCATTGCTGTGTCAAAATACCTGAGATAAATCAACTTAAAGGAGAAAAATTTGGGGGCTCATGGTTTCAGAGCTTCCCATCCATGGTCAGTCGCTCCACTGGTGTTGGGCCTGGGGTAAAGTAGCACATCGTGGCTGCTCACCTCTGGCGGCCAAGAAGCAAAGAGAAGGCAGGGTCCCATGTCCCCTTCAAGAGCAGGCCCCAACGACTTAGCTTCCTTCCACTAGGTCTTATCTCTTAAACTTTCCACCACTCTCAAATAGGGCCACAGGATGGTGATCAAGGCTTCAGTATTGGGCCTCTGGGGACATTTAAGATCCAAACCATCGCAGTCACTGAATTCATAAAGCAACCATTACTACCACCCACGTATTTGTAAGCAGCCCCTCTGGGAGAAGCACATGAAAGCCCTTTACCAAGTGCTCCATGTATCTGCAGAGTGCTGGGCGCTTCACATTCATTAGTTATGACACTCTATGGACAGATTAGGAAATTAAAGTTCAGAGAGGTGAAGTAAACCACCCAGGTGGACCAGCTTGGGTGCAGGAAGCAGGGTTTCAAGTTGGGCAAAGCCTTCTTCTTCTTCTTCTTTTTTTTTTTTTTTGTTTAGTGGTGGGGGACTGAACCCAGAAACTGAGCTAAATTCCCATCCATTTTTAATTTTTGAGACAAGATCTCACTAAGTTGCCCAAGATGGCCTTGAACTTGGCATCTCCTGCCTCAGCCCTCCAAGTTGCTGAGATTACAGGCGTGTGCCACTATGCTTGGCTCCAGGGTGTCTTCTTGCAAGCCAGCTGTTTACCCCCCAAGCCTGTGTGCCCTCTAATCTATCTGTGCATTCAGGGCTTCTGGATCATCCAGCCTCACCCAGGCTGGCCCCGGGGATGGGTGACCCGTTTCCACGTCAATTCAACACCTGGTGCTTACTCGAGTGTCACTACATGCCTGGCCTGGTGCTAGGTCCTGTGGATGAATCATGGAACATATGTGGCAACAAAAACAATGTACAATGTGACCCCTGCCTTTGAACTTACTAAAATAAATGCTCAAAAGTGGAAAACCACCCAAAGGCAAAAGGTGGCGCACAATTAGTGCCTCATGAGAGTCGGACGGAGTTGAGGAAGGTCCTTGGCTTTCGGAGCAGGAGCCCACTGGGGTCCAGGGGTGCCACCAAGGCAGCAGGAAGAAGGAGCCTTTGTGCTGGGCTGTTAGGAGAGCTTGTTTGTTTATGGAAGACGATTAAACTGGAATCAGGAGCCACGTTCGCTGGGGTCCCAGTCTGTCATTAACCAGATGTGTGAACTGGGGCTCCTTTCTAGACTCCCTAGGTCCTGCGGCAGCTGTGACATCTGCAGTCATCCCAGCTGAAGTTCACCATCTCACTGGATGGCTTGTGCGTTTGCTCCCCCATGGCCTAAGGCACACCTCCCCAGGGTCCTCCTCGGGCTCCCTGGTGGGGGCAGCCAGCCCCTAGACCAGTGTGGACCGGCTCTGCAGGCAGCAGTGCTGGGTAAACACGAACTGCTGGCAGGCTCACCCTCTTCATAGTTTCCACTCTGAGCTCTGCTCTCTGAAATGCCTTTGAAGTCTCACAGACCTGGGCCCCAGCTCCAGCCCTTCCACTTCCTCGTTCTAAATCCTTAGGCAAGTTGCTTTAACCTCTTACAAACCTCGATTTGTTCACGTGTGAAATGATGGTACTGATCCCCCCAGGGTTGTTGTGAGAGCTGACTGTTCATCACCCAGGCCGGAGTGGTACCTGGCAGGGCCTGGGCAAGTTGGAGCTGTGAGCTGCTGCCCATCTTTGGAATGCTGTGCATATAACCTAAATGGCAAGCAATTAAAGTTGTGAAATTTTATATTAGATTGATTTATTTCTTTGTTTCAATTTTATAATCATCGTGAAACTGGGTCATTGTGGAAATATGAAAAGGAAATTAAAAACAAACAAACAAACAACAACAAAAAAAACACTGCTGGTCCTGCTAAATCCCTCCAGAGGGAGTCGAGAGAAGGGAAGAAAAAGTGAATGAGACTGTGTTGTAACGTTTTTTGTTTTCATTTTTGGTTTTGGTGCTGTGGATCGAACTCGGAGCCTCATGCATACCAGGTAAGTGCTCTACCAGGAGACACAGCCCCAGCCCTATTCAACACTTTGATTTTCAATAAGCAACAACAAATGTCTATTTATTCCTGCTATGGTTTGGATGTGGTTTGTCCCCCCAAGGTTGCATGTGTTGGGGGCTTGGGCCTCCGTGTGGTGGTGTTCAGAGATGGGGAGGCCTTTAGGAGGTGAAGCTGAGTGGGAGGTTGTCGGAGGTGCTGCCCTCGGGAGGGATTAATGTGGTTCTCTGGTGCTCTGGTTAGTTCTTGAGTTCCTGAGAGCAAGGCTGATCCCTCCCCTCTCCTGGGCTTCCTATTCTGCAATGGGATCTGACATACACTCCTGCCAGATGACACCTGCCATGGTGCAGTGCAGCCAAGGGGGGCCTCACAGTAGCTGCTGTTGCTGACAGCTCGGTCCTTGTCCCCGATGCCAATCCAATAACAAGGACATGGTTTTGAGAAAAAGGAAAAAGATGGTTTATTGCTTTGCTAGCAAATGAGAAACCCAGGGGACTCCTGTCCCAAAGGCTGTGATTCTGCCCATCCGCAGGAACAGGGGGCTTTTAAAGAGGTGATTCAAAGAAAATGAGGTTAGGGAGGAGAGATCCAGAAGGAGAAGATCAGGGAAAAGAAGATCAGGGAGGAGAAGGTCAGGGAGAAGAAGGCTGGGGGAAAAAACATGTAAGTTTCAAACATCAAGTGTGAAGGGAAAGCGAGAGACAAGAGGCGGGTAAGGGAGAAATGAAAGACAGAGACCAGGCAGAGACACACATCAGGGTTTATTTGTCAGAGGTGACAGATAAAGGCCATCTCTCTACAGTGGAGAGAGGCTAACAGGCTTGGGTCCAGGACTTTTATGGGCAGGCTCAGGGATCAGAGCTGGGCAGGTCCTAAAGCAGGCGATTAGGGGTTGGGTTGGTATGAGGGAGTGGTGAGCCTTTCTCAGAAACACCCTTGGGCGGAAAAGTGAAACTTTTTCCTTAAAAAGGTGGCTGTCACTTAAGATGGCCATCCAGATGCTAAACAAGGACCTTTGACACTGGCACCATGCTGTTTGAACTGTTGGCCTAGGAAACCGAGCTCAATAAACCTCTTTCTTTGCACATGACCCAGTCTCAGGAAGTTTACTATAGCAACAGAAAACAGACTGATACAACACCTTTTCTACACTAAAGACTATTACAAGGACTAGTGATTGTAAATGTATAAT